AGGTGTGTGTGTGTGTATTGGCAGTGACATATGACTCAGTTTGAAGTAGTAGTAAGTAAATGCTCCATGCAAGGAAAATTGCCTGCTGAACAAACCAAACACTTTCCTTGCTTCAATCTAGTTTTTGTAAATTCAGAAATACTCTATAAAAATTTTGTTTCATATACATTCTTCACTGTCTGGCCACAAAAAAATAATAATAATTAGTAGCTTGTAAATAATCAATTTGTACTGTGCAAAAAAGAAAACTAATATATCTTTTCTGAAGGCTAATTAATGGGGAAACATGTATCAGCATCATTGTTATTACACTTTTTTCATATCTTTAATATTCATGTAAAATGCTTTCTTGGCACTAGATCAGTATCCTCCCCATGAAGAGCCCATTGATGATGCAGAAGAGAACTTCCCTTCCTCCTTAAGTAGAACACTGCCTATTATCCAGTGTCCTTTTTGTCACATTAAAGAACAGGGAACTTTTTATTCTTTCCAAGAAATGGCCTTTCAAGTTCAGTAACAAAATGTTCTGTTCCTCAGGAAATGAGAGAAGACCGAGATAAGGCGCGACTGGACTCCATGGTGCTGCTAATTATGAAACTGGACCAACTTGACCAGGACATCGAGAATGCTCTCAGCACCAGCTCCTCTCCATCCAGCACACCAACAAACCTGCGGCGGCATGTTCCTGTAAGCTTCCCCCTTCCCACTTCTCCTCTGCAAACGGTGTGTCTCTTTACTGCACACAGTTCCTGTTACCAGTGAAACATCTTTGCTAATAGCATCTTCTCATATATATGGAATAGAGTCCCATAAAGACAACTCAAGTATTTCCATGCTTAATGCAGAGAATTCATAGAGAAATGAATGATACAAAAGAAAATATTTAACATTAAACAGGAAGAAAGGTCACCCAGGGATATTATATTTCCTAGTGATTAAATCCTCTTTGCTATAGCTGTTACCTTAACTGACAGTCAGCTCTGATGTGATATAAACTCCATTCGCAAGTACTGTTTGGTAAATTATTTCCAGTGACCTGCAAATGTACATTGCATGAAGAAAATATTTAATAACTATTTTGCTGCATGGATGGGTAGATGGTGGTTGAATTAACCCAGTATACTGTAAGAAAGAATTTAAATGAGATTAACTTGAGAGCACTCTAAAATTCATTCAGTGAAATATAACAAAGAGAACAGAGGTCAGAATTATATTCTACTGTGCATTCATATTATTTGACAAACACTCCTCCGAGACTCTGACTTTCTGAACAAATTTTGAAAGAGATAAATTTCAGGATTAACTATACATTTTACATACTTAATATTAGCTTTATATAAAATGACTTTGCGTATTAAATGCAAAACTACTAAATATGATGGTGGAATTTATAATTAAGCCATGACTCCATTTTCAATTTCTAACTTGTATTATGCAATAATAAGCACATCAAGTCGAGAATGAACTGAGATCAAAGCGGTGGAAAATCACGTAGAAAATTTGAGCACCTATTTCTAAAATACAAATATTCTGTCCTCAATTCCTTTGTATAGTTCTACCATTGCTTTGTATAGTTCTATCATTGATTATGAAATAAAAAAAAACAGATTAAAATAAAAGCTAACTCTAATATATTAGTGCATATTATTCTAAGGTTAACACATTCATTCTTTGTAAAAATTTTCAGATGAGTAAAAGGCACAGAGAAGGGAGTAACTGCATGTTCCAGAGTTGGTGTACAGATGCTGCCAGTCTCTGTCCAGAGCTGTGTTAATGAACCACTACACCATGCTGCTTTCTAACTGATCATGAAAATCTGATATCTTAATCAAAAATGATAAAAGTAGTAGTGGTAACAATAAAATCTAATTAAAATTCAGTAAATACAAAACTAAATACTTATAAAAGCCAGTAGAAATGAAATACCTTCCTAGTCAGAATTGGTTACATTCTGCCCTGTGCCACCCTAGTGTGGTACACATAATATAGTTTTACCAAGTAGAATTGGCTCCAAATGGAAGAAATACGAAGTTTTTTCCTGAAGGTCAACAAGGAGGGACTATTTAATTTTATTTGTATATGAAGAATTATAGAAATTTCATGCTCATTTGCATCAACAACTTCAAAGACAAGAATAAGCTTATGTTTTTAATAGGAGGTAATACTTAATACCTCTTTACCATTAATTTAGCTGTGAGCTATGTTTTCTCCAAAAATGTTCTAGTGTGAATTGCTAATCTTACCTATCTTTCAAATCTCTTTCTCTTTACATTCAACTTTCCTCAATCTCCATGTATTTAGGAGAAAGATTCAGCCCTAGATTTCTGCTGAATACAACTCCATACTGTTGTCACTATCTCAAAAAGCAAGAGAACCTTAGTAAAGCCAGTAAGCTATTTAAGGACAAACAAAAATAGGAGTTAATATGTTATGATCTTAGAATTGGTCTACACCTACATTTTCTGCTTCCATTCAAATTTGTAAATTGGACTTTATATTACACAGTTTAGCTTGTGGAAAATTACCACAACAATTGCTTCTGTAAAGAGATTCATTTCTTAGCTCTCATTTTATAGTCAGAATGTTTAAAATGCCATAGTAGAAACATTGTGAACTTTGGTGGCTTCAGAACTGGTTCAAATTCCAGTTTTATAACTGACTATCTGGTAACATAAAAGAATTATTTAATTTCTTAAATTATTTAATTTCATATAAAAATAAGAGTTGTTGTTTCTTAATGGATGTCTCATTGGGAGAAGCAAATGAAAGAATGTGTGTGATATGTTTTGCATAGATATGGCATAGAATACATATTTGGTAATGGTGAATTCTTGTCCCTTTGCTCTGTACCCACGTCAGGCAGAGGGCTAAAGATGAACAGAAAGACAAGTTCCTCATGCCTCAAAACTCTTTTTTGGTCTTTATGATTTTCTAGGTCACTCCGGGGTCTATATTTATGTTCCTTGGTATTTAAAGTTAATTTTAACATTCTCTCATCATCAATTTTTTTCCACAAGCACTTTCCATTCCTTTTGATAATTGTGCCATGGAATAAGAGGATTATAATGGCATGATTATGACCTTAATCATTCACCAAGGAACACTGTCCCAGATTCAGAGGAGACACTGCCACTACCCCACCCACCCACTCCACCGTGAATTTATAGTTTAGCAAGAAGAACAAGACATACAGTAAAACCATGATTTTTCCACAGCCCCAGTTTAAGAATATTTATGAAAAAAAATGCCAAAGTTAATTCTACATATAATAAAGAATATGAAGAATAACACAGGCTGGAATCAAATGATTTTAACATGAAACAAATAATAAAGATTGAGATAAAGATTTAAAGAGGCTGCCTAACTAGATCCACACAAGTTGGTGATGCTTTGGTAGATACTCCACAGCCCGAAATCTGGTTTTCTCTTTTGCAGTCCCAAACCCAACTTTATCCAAGCATTTACTAATGTCATTATCTCAAGATGGCTAAAGATAGCTAATCTCTTGGGATAAGTGACAGGTAGTAGTGTTTAGTAAGCATTAATCTTTATATATGTTAATTCATTGATCCTCTTGAGAATCCTAAAATGCAAAACCTGAGTTTCAGAAAGGATAAGTAACTTACCCAAGGCCACACAGTTGGGAAGTGGTAATTAATTTACCTTGAGTCACCCAACTGGTGAGATTACTTGCACATCAGAAAAGCCATGTTCATCCTGCTACATTATAAACCTCTCCAAGATGCAAATTTTTCATTGACAATGGGATAAACATCATTCCCTGAACCATAATCCCCTTGTCTGATAGGGTCCTTTTTTCTTAATAATAAAATCTTCTGAGTTTTGAGTTACTAATAGGGGGACAATGTGTAATCAAAGGGATATTGACAATCTCTTGAGGTATTTCATCCATACCATGGGGTTAGTTTAGGAAATATGTAGGCTGTAGCCATTTCTCTACCTTTAAAGTACCTCTGACATTGCTCTGCAGTATTTTTCGGTATCCCCGGATCATCCAAGGTAGCTATTCAAATATTTAATGATCCCCAAACCCCTACCCAATCCTTGCATTTATTTATCTTGTCACATAAATGGAAGCCAATGACAGAATTTCCAGCATCAAACTGCTTATGGCTGTAGGTGATTCTACTTTCTTTCTTCCTTTGTCAGTCAAACATATGTTGTTCCTATCATCTAATTCTGATCTTACAGTCTGTGTCCTTACTTCTGTTCCTTACTGTCTTCTAGCTTAGCTCCACCAATTATTCATTCTTTCTTGTAGGTTCAAATTTCACTGCTCTCTTCCTATCAGTTCTTATCCTTTTCTTAAGCATATGTACATGCTGTATTTTCTCTGCCGTGTATTAAATAAATCCTTTCTTTATTTAAGACTGCTATAATAACTGTTATAATAGGTGTTGGCAAGGATGTGGGGGAAAAGGTACACTCATACATTGCTGGTGGTACTGCAAATTAGTACAACCACTCTGGAAAGCAGCATGGAGATTCCTTACAAAACTTGGGATGGAACACTCTTTGACCCAGCTATCCCATTCCTCCATCTTTACCCAAAGGTCTTAAAATCAGCATACTATAGTGACACAGCCACATCAGTGTCTATAGCAGCTCAGTTCACAATAGCTAAACTAGATGCCCTTCAATAGATGAATGGATAAAAAACTGTGGTACATATACACAATGGAATATTACTCAGCATTAAAAGGGAATAAAATTATGGCATTTGCAGGTAAATAAGTGGAGTTGGAAAATATGATGCTAAGCAAAGTAAGCCAATCCCGGAATACCAAAGGTGGCGTGGGGGCAGGAAAGATGGTAGAATGAAATGGACATCATTACTCTAAGTACATGTATGACTGCACATATGGTGTGATGCTATATCATGTACAACTAGAGAAATGAAAAGTTGTGTTCCATTTGTGTATAATGAATCAAAATGCATTCTGCTGTCATATACACCTGATTAGAACAAATAAAAAACAAAAAGACTGCCATGTTAGTACTCCAGGAAAATAGACATGGGTGGTAAGTGAGATAGATCATTGCTGTTTTTCAATGTAGAAATTTAAAAACAAAAGCAAAAAGTCTTCCCTTGATCTTTACTCAAGCACTGCCCTATCTCACTCTTTTTGGGTATGAGCTAAGCTTTCATCTGAGTATCTCCTCCTTGATTTAATTCCTGGCTATCAGGAATTAAATTATGGCTCCATCATTTCTCCACCCTTCATCTCCTAGCTGACAAATTCAGGAGGAACAGCACAGTCTTTAGCTATTACAGTGACACTATCGAGCACTCTCTTCCCTTTAATTATCGCTACTCCTTTGGCTTCTGGATCCTCCCTGTTTTTCCTTCTCTACCTCCGTGACACTTGCTTTCTATATATGCCAATGGCACGCTCCTCTTTCCCCATTTGTCCCTTAAATCTCATATCCAGGTTCTAGACTCAATTCTCCTGACTGTCTGACTTTGAATGTTCTCCCTGGGAATTAGCATGGCTTATGTCACCTTCTTCATGATGAGGGTCACCAATGAGACAGCTTTTTATGATCTCCATATCTATATATCCGATGGATCACTAGATTCTCAGTCTTTTGCACCAAAATTGAACTGCGTATGCATCTCTAGCACATATCACACTGGATTACCTAGCACAACAAGAACTCCTGAGATTTTTATACTTCTGTAGCCAGGTACAGTTGAAGGAATAGAGTAAGAGTCATTACTAGAGCCTTGTAGGAGGATGGTATAAAAGAGGAATTACACAAAGCAAAGGTGAATTGCAGGTAAATTATTAGGTGATAGTATAATGATAATTGGGGTCTTATTCACCACTGGGTTTGGGTACAGAAGCAGTGGACAGAGGAGAGAAGGAATGTGAGAGATCTGGAGAGAACTTGTATGATATTTTTCATAGTGAACAGAGGAAAGAAGAGAAAATGATAAAGATTTCTGCCAAACTGCACATTATTACATCAGTTACTTAGTTGTTTAGGACCTCAATAGAACAGATGGAGTTAGTTTACCAGGTTGAACCTTGAGGTCAGAAAGGCCTGAGTTTCAATGCCAGCTCTGTGAGAAAGCGTGACTTGAGTGGAGTGACTCACCCCGGGTCATGGCTTCATCTTCTCTCAAGTGATGATAACAGAACATCCCACACAGGGGTGATGACCACGGAGGAAGAAATGGGCGGTGAGGTAAGGTCTGTAAAAGACAGAAACACAAAAGAGGGTAGTTTTTAATTTAAATATATTATTTCACCTCAGAGCCCTTGCATGGTTAGAAAGTTGCAGGATTACCCTGTTAATTACCTAATCAAATCATCAACAGGAGGGCAAAATTAATTGCAACCAATTTTTGATCTACAAAAGGTCAAATATAAATGGATTATAAATTACCTGCTACTTATGAGTATGCATTAGATAATATTCAAAAATTACCTACTATTACCGACTACTTATTTGATGCTTGAAATTTAAATGAATCATATTTTATCTAGAATAAAATGTTTCTTGCTTTCTCTGTGCAGAAAAATAAATATGCAAATAAAATAGATGGCCTGATCTGAAGTCACTCCAAACATCGGAAATTTGGTTACAGTCGTATACTTCATATACAAACACATTATTAAAGAATACAGTATACTCTTCATCATTTATTACTCTTTGTCTCTATTAGTATATGCTTTTATACCATTACAACTGAAGAAAACTGAGTTTCAATTCTATTTATGATTTATAATTTTATAGCAAAAAAAAATACTTACATTGTGAAGACGAAGAAAGGAAAGGTTTGTATTATTCATGCAGTTGTTCTTTTACAAAACAATTTTACATAACCATGTTCTATGTGTCAGGCACTGTTCTAGGACCTGAAGATGTAGCAGTGTACACGTCAGGCAAAGCTCCTGATTTTGTGATGCATGCCTTCTAATTGTCAAAGATTAAAAGATGGAGGAATGGATCTGTAGATAGGTAGGTAGGTAGGTAGGTAACACAAAAAAACAAAAGACTTATTGATAGATGGTAAATATAAATAAGGTATGGTGAACAATAAGATGTTAACAAAAATATATTGCAGATGTTAAGGGAAGGAAACTATTTGGGCTTTAAATAGTTAACAGATGCTTCAAAGAAAGGGCATAGTCCCTGTCATAGACAGCAGCTTGATCTACTAGAAGAACTGAAAACAGGCAGTACTACCAGAGCATCCTAAGAAACCAAAGAATGGTAAAACATATAGTCAGAAAGTTAGGTTTCAGAGAAGATATCTGACCATGTAGACCATGGTACGTTTGAAATGTAAAAAGAGTAGATGCAAAAATATTTAACTCATTTTTTTCTCAGGTTGAAAGCGTGGGGTGACCTGTGCCTTTGCTCTCCTCTCCTCTCCAGTTTCTCCTGTTCTCATCTTTCCTCTTTACAGTCAGATCACCTGTAAGACAGCATTTGATAAATTAAATGAACAGCCTTTGCAGAGGTTACCAAATGTTTGCATCATTCAATGGGTGTCTTAGAAGTAGTTATTAAGAAGACATAGGATATTAATAATGTTTCTAGTGATGGTTAACATTTAATGAAAATGATCACGCACAGTTACATGCACTTTGTATATATCTTGCTTAATCCTCATAAAATTCTCTAAGTGCATATCATTAGCATACCCACTTTCAAACAGGATCATTGAATCACACATGACAAAACATAATTCATGCCCTCCTGTTGTGTGTGGAGTGTTAATTGAGTTACTCAAGGTCACACAGTGAGGAAGGGAATCTATTTTCTTCTACTTCCTAACTCTTACTGCTATGCCCTAGCTAGCTCTCCCACTTACCCCTTCCAATTTGCATTAAGTTGTTAAATTACTCAAGTAGTATGATACCTCTCTCTCAAGTAGTTTCAGACCCTCAGAAGAGTATGATTGTTGTTACAAAATCATATGATTTTGAGTGACATGTCAGTGTTAGTGACCCTTAAGTGTGTGTTGACAGAAGGAAGTGGAAAGGGGCTGGTGGCAGGGAAATGAACGCAGAGGGATTAGTCACACGTCATTCATATGAATGCATTTGTTTTTAATAGGATCTGGAATCGGGATCTGAAAGTGGAGCAGATACTACTTCAGTAAACCAGACGCAAGTAAATTTGCCTTCTAACACTGAGTCCACTGATCTACCATCTTCCACCCCACTGACCATTTCTGGAACCAAACCCAAGGCAATGGTAAGTTGTAAATGAGAAGTCAGTCTCAACATGTAAGTGTTGTGACTATCAGATGAGAGTTGATATTCTATCCATTCAATATAGAAGACACACTCTTGGAGTTTTTGCCATGTCGATTTGGAGTATTCACCACCCTGAACACACGTGTTTGTTTAATCGATGACAATACAGTAAGTTTGCTAAAACAGGCCATGAATCCAGAATTATGCAAAATATAGTAATTAAATTTTGTTACTGAACACTCATAACTTTAAAGAACCAAGAACACAAAACTGCAGAAGGCTTTTCTCCTGCATTAGTATCCTGAGAATGCCACTTGCTACTTAGAAAATTATCTTTCTAAAAACTTCCATGACATATAGATGATAGATACTGATGAATAGAGGAATGAATAGATAAGTAGATAGGTACAGAAAGATGACAGAGATGGAGATAGAGATATCCAAAATCATCCACTTTATAGATTATCTGTGAGCACTGATGATAATACTCATGTGAGGGGCTTATCAAAGTGTTTGGTACAGAATAAGGGCTGAATAAAGGTAAGCTACTGTCATTATTATAATGATGCTTCATGAACTTCATAATGCCATCAAAACAAGTAAAAATATAATTACTGCATGGAATAATACAGCATGGTGAATTGTGAATAAAAGAGATTTTCCTTTAAGCAAAAAGTGAACTGCACCAAGAAAATAGTATTTGACTCTAAAAGGTAACATTTATGGAGGAAGTAATTACTACTTCAAATATCTACAATCCAAGCAGTTCCAAAATAACCTTTCCTAGTTTGGTGAAAATCATAGTGTTGTATTATTTTTTTAAAAGCCCATGTTAGCTTAACACAGAGAAACAAGTTTGGATTGCTTCTTTGCCTGCCTTTAAAATAAAATAGTGCTCTGAAATAGGACTCAACAGAGAACACTCTGAATTTGAAACGGAAAATGTACTGTTATTGCAATATGAATGAAAATACATCATTGAAAATGCAGATACGTCTGATTTTAATATTTACCTGGAAATTATGTTTCCTGTTATTATATATATCCAGAGTATTTTGGTTGATAAACATCTATTGAACACCTCTTACATGCCATATACTATGCTAGATGAAAAAAAATGGAGAGGAATAAAACATATTCTCTGTCTTTAAATAATTTTCATTCTAGCACAAGAAGATATGAAATGCAAGTGCTATGTGCACCATGATAGTGCTCTATGTATTGGGAATAGGAGGAATCAAAAAGTTACTGCACAATGCTATTTTGGGGTACACTGAAAATACAGGGTCAACCCTGTTGAAATGCAAAATTAGACTGTGGAATCCAAGTATTTCATTTTACCTCATTCTGATTAAGGAAGGATTTTTAAAATATACATGTTCTCTCAATGGCTTTTTTAAAATATTTTTTAAGTTGTCAATGGATTTTATTTTACTTGTTTGTATGTGGTGCTGAGAATCGAACCCAATGCCTCACATGAGCTAGGCAAGTGTTCTACCACTGAGCTACAACCCTAGCCGTCTCAGCAGTTTAACTTGAAGATTTTGAGAATCATTGGCTTTTTAACGTTGGGGATGTGGGTAAGGCCCTTCTTAACGGTATTTTTTGCTTTAATTTGCTTTTGGAAGCACCTGCTAGTACCCTGCACAACAGTTCTTTTCAACCTGATGTTTACTTTCACGTTCATCTTTCAGTTTAGAATAATTGACAGTGGTATCCACTTTTGTCCCCCTGGAAAGTGCAGTTTCTGTGTGAGAGTGCCTCGTAATTCGCTATCATGTATACAACTGTGTGTGCAGTTCCTTTTTCTTCATTACCCTCATGTTTTCGAGTGTAGTAAAGAAAGTTACACAGAGGCATATACAATGAAAAATACAAACCATCAGCTTTCCCAGGACTAATCCTTTGGATACCTTGTGATGGGTTCCTTGTTCAGATTTTTCATCCTTTGCTTCTTCAGTTGACCAAACTATTTATTCAACTGTCACATTAAGATATACTTAAGTCACTGGGTGCAGTGGTACCTGTAATCCCAGCTGCTCAGGAGGCTGAGACAGAAGGATAGCGAGTTCAAAGCCAGCTTCAGCAAAAGCGAGGTGTTAAGCAACTCAGCGAGACCCTGTCTCTAAATAAAATACAAAATAGGACTGGGGATGTGGCTCAGTGGTAGAGTGTCCCTGAGTTCAATCCCCAGTACCCCCTCAAAATTTTAAATATATACTTAAATCAATTATTAAACAGAAAAAAAAATTTGATATATCCAAATCAAGCACTCGCTGTAATTTGTTAACTTTGAAGAAAACAGGATGTGACTAGAGCTCAGATGCCCAAGGTGCTTCATAATCAGGACACATGAATCATTCTGCAACTGACCCCGCCTCCAAAGACAATATTCCAATTTAAGAAAATTAAAAACTGACCAATCTACCAATACCTTGTTATTAGACAAATGGACATATATCTGTTTCCTACTTCTGAACTATAATTTGGTAACATTCCCCAGCAGGTCATGAAAAGTATCTAGAAAGAAACATTCCACTGTTGAAGACAACTGACTTTGAAGAAATTTCTTAAATAAAATGGACAATTAATAAGAATAGCTTTTAAAATAGGCTTTTGCTTTGTGTGGGGGCATATGATTTGTTGTTGTTGTTGTTATTAACAATACTATTCTTTCGGGTATTCCCTTTTTACTACAGTTTGAAACTGATTCTTGGGCTGTGAATAAATTTTATTTGGCATATTACAACGAAGAATTTTATTAGAAATTAAACAGATACCTTGACCCATAATTTGGAGCTTAGGTAATAGATGTTATATAAAAGCAGTCTGGATACTTGGTGAAAAGGAAAAACTCTTAGTATCCTACAGATGTCTTCTTTTCACTATGGACTAAATTTTCAATTTTAATGTGAAGTAGAAACATGAATTCTAAGAACAACTTCTTAACACACCCACGTACATAATAACTAACCTTCTGTTCTATCATGTCACATTTTTGCAGAATGCTTTCATTCATTTCAGAAGCTTAGCATTACATTTGATTTGCCGCTGCAAAACCTATTAATAATGGTGACTAACTTCCAAAAATATTTGGCTTTCCTTTTATGCCTAAGGTCCCTGGATTTCTAAGTACTATTTTTCAATAGGAATTATTTTATATTTATTATTAGAATCAGATCAATGAATAATCTTCAAATTTTTTGCTAATTCTATGTATATATCATGCTGAAAAGTAAGCATTAAAATCATTATGTAATCTACTTCTAAACACTTTCAGAAATGAAAGTGTTTAGAAGTAGATTATCCTTTGTCAAAAGAAAACCCACACCTAGAAAAAAGAGAACCCTTGCACTTTATGCTAAGTTGTTGATCAGTTTCTCTCCTAAATCTGGTTTTGTGCCTTTGAAATAGACTCAAAATGCTTTCCATACTAGAATGTTCTACAAACAACTCCAGAACAGTTGGGCCTTTTATATAAAGTGTTTTGAAGCACTGTAGAGCAAGATACTGTTGTCATTCTCCATCTTCAGTGTCTTCCGTGGACAGAGTTGTTCCAGTGTTAGTTACTATACAGCAACTATATTAATATAAGGCAGCTACATGAGAGATTTTAAAGCATGAGACTATAAATTCAGAGATTATTTTGGTTTTATTTTTTTTACCCTTGATGTTTTTATTAAAGTATGCCATTTATATATCATATATATATACGTATATATATTCCTAATTTTAATTATTCAGCATAATGTGTGTCTAGATAAACCTAAAGTCTTGTACATCTATATACTCTTGAACTTCCCCCCAGGTCAAGATGGACTATGAGCAACAGAGTGAAGCCTGCTGGAATTATATATCTCCCTATCTGTTTTTTAATTAGACCTAAAATCAATATGGTTAAAAGTAAATGATCCTTACAGCCAATACTAGTTTCAAATTTTACTCTTTTTTGATTGGCATGTTTGTATTTATGTATGGGGTACAGCATTACAATTTGGTACATATATATAATATGTAATGATGAAATCAGAATAATTGACATTTCTGTCTCCTCATATATTATTATTTCTATGTTTTTGGAACCTTCAAGCTCTTCTCTAGTCACTTTGAAATGTATAATAATTTGTTATAGACTATGGCTACTCCATTGTGCTCTAGAACATCAGAGCTGATTCCACCTTCCAACTCTTTTCAACTCTATTATCCAACCTCTCTCTGTCTCCAACCCTTCCCTTCCTAGTCTTTAGAAACCTATATTGTACTCTACTTCTATGTGATCGACTTTTTTAGCTTTCACAAATGAGTGAAAAAACACAGTATTTATCTTTCAGTGCCTGGTTGTTCCACTTAACATAATGTCCTCTAGTTTCATCTATGTTGACATAAATGACAGACTCTCATCTTTTTGTAATTGAGTAATAGTCCATGATGCATATATACCACATTTTTATACATTCATCTATCACTGAACATCTCAGTTGATTCCATATCTTGGCTCTTGTGAATAGTGTGCTACAATAAACAACTGTGTGCAGGTATCTCTTTGATATGATTTTATTTCGTTTATTATTATGTCCAGTAGAAGTGGGAATGCCAGATCACACGGTAGCTCTTTTGTCAGTTTTTGAGGAATCCCCATACTGGAGTAAGATGACTTTATAACAATATTCATTCTGTGACGCATACTCTTGTCCTATTTGTCAAAAATTGGTTGGCTGTAAATATAGAGATTCATTTGTGGATCTTCTATTTTGTTCCATTAGTTTGTGTCTGTTTTTATGTCAGTACTATGCTGTTTCAATGACTATAGTTTATACTAGGTTTTGCAATTATGTGTTATGCCTTTAACTTTGTTCCTTTTTTAAATGATAGTTTTATATCTATATATAAATATATAGATATAGAGATATATTTATTTGTTTGTTTGTTTATTTATTTATTTTATTATGTGGTGCTGAGGATCGAACCCAGAGCCTCACATGTGCTAGGCGAGTGCTC